AGCTGTTACAACAACAACAAGTAAAAAAGCTGTAAGTTTGGCCGGGCCGAGTTTTTAATACCCTCCACCATTTGGTACAAATTTGGCAATTTCCAAAAAAAAAATAAATAAAGTCCGTTAAAAATTCTATTAAAACCTTAAAAATACCGAATGCCTATACGACGACGTGGACCTGGATAGGCAACTTTTTTCATTAGTTATTACAATATTTTAATGCGAAACTTGAAGAAAAATCTTCATAATGTAGCTAAAATAATCAAAATACCGAATATAGGGGGTACCGTTATATGGGGGCTATACGAAGACGTGGACCTGCACAGACAATTGGCATGGGCTGAAGTATCCATTACGAACTTCACATGCGAAATTTGAAACAATCCCGGTAAATAATGTCGCTAAAATCATCAAAATACCGAATATCGGGGGGTGCGGTATATGGGGGCTATACGAAGACGTGGACCTACATTGCACATTTTCTGTTTTATCATGCTGTATCTATTACGAACTTCAAATACCAAATTTGGAACGATTTCGTTAAACGATGTCGATAAAATCATCAAAATACCGAATATCGGTGGGTACCGTTATATGGGGGCTACACGAAAACGTGGACCTACATGGCCCATTTACGAACTTAACCTGCCTACTGGCAAAATATACATACGAAAGATAGCGTGATTACAACAAACAGACAGACAGAGAGACAGACACACTGACAGTCAGACGGACATGGCTAAATCGTCTTAGAATTTTACGCTGATCAAGAATATATATACTTTGTTGGGTCTGACATGAGTATTTCGAGGAGTTACGAACGGAATGACAAAATTAATATACCCTCCATAATTTGGTGGAGGGTATAAAAACAACAATGTTATTTAAGCAATGCTTAATAGACTGACGGACAATCCATCCATAGTATGTGGAATTGAGACGATTGATTACATCACTTATTATTGTTGGCTACACATCAAACTGCATCACTATTACCAATTCAATGAGAAATAATTCTCATTGACTTGATTATGGTGATCATATATAGAGTTTTGGTTTCGGTTGCCAAAGAAGATAGCTATTGCGAAGGGCTTGTCATAAGGGTGGTAGATGCTGTCTTTAAAAGCATTTATCCATCCTCCATCTAACAGAATCGTTAGCTGGGATGTTTTTCGACTTCACGGGTGTTTGTTCTTACTGTTCTACAGGAGCATCGGCTCACTGTTCCAACCGAAATGTGACGTAGACCGTTGCATAATCCGACTGACTTACCTGTGGTAATCTATTCAACGAGTTCCCGATCATCTATTCTTCGCACACTACACGAACACCTGCGGGGCCTACGTCGATACACCAACTCTCCAGATAACTTTCGGTCGAGCACTCGACGTCCATTTATCAGAGTTCCTTATTATCTTCAAATCGTCTACAACCCGAGCGTCCTCATCGCGATATACGGACATCCGACGTCCCTAAATCATCAACATCATGATACCCGTTTAGCACAAATCATCGACATCCGACCTCATAGTCAGAGTGGTCTGCGTCATAGTGGTCTGCGAGTCTGTCCAATAATAAAAGCCTATAAGTGTCTGAAATTGTATATACCCCTAATTAAATCTAGCAAACACAACACCCATTTTTACATTTTCTAGGTAGGATTATAAAATTTCTGAGAGTCGACATCTATTTTATGTAAAATTCTATTTAAACAGACTGCAAGCTCTTACTCTCAATTTGCAGCCGTTTTTTTTGTTTTTCCACCATTGACGGAGTCTACAACAACAATAACATTGTTGTTGGTGCCTTTTTTTGGCACAACTGCCGGTCTCTTGTTTGATGTTCTGCGACATCATTTATGTGAACAAATGCAGCTGTTCAAACTTGGAATTAGCTTGACACTTGTCCCCATCGGGGCAACGCAACACAAAAGCGAGAGACAAACACGAATGAAGAAAGAAAAAAGCGACCGAAACGAAACGTTTTAATATCATTGAAAATTTATTTTCCCTATCGCAAGTGTTCAGCGGGAAGAATGTTGTGCGGCAAACTTGTTGGCGGAGTATGGTTCTAGGTTGCGACTAGTCGTTGAGGGCCGGACAAGTGGCTTGGGAAAATATTCAAGGGTAGTGGAGCTATAAAAGTATTGGCATATAAAGAGGAGCAAAAGATCTAGGGACGATGAAAAAAAATTTCGTGGAATTTTGGTTTGACTGGAAGTTTATAAAATTAGGAGAAGAGCAAGATTGATTGGAATCGCTATATGAACCCATATTTTTCAGCCTGAATGGAGTAAATTACCTACCTCCAATTTTACAGATTTCTCTACGTTTTCTAATTTCTCTAGAACCTATAATTATTATCACAGACTCCATTATAATTCCCCCCCCCCCCCCCCCTTATACGAAGAGTTGTTATGCGTGTCCATACTTACCATCGTGGGTCAATGGCAGCTGTTGCAAATTGTATTTATTGTTTTGGCGACGAGTGTGAGAGGTTTGATTCCAATCTCCTCAGTATTGGCTCCACTTCTTATTACCTCCATGGCATGGCCAAAAACGAAACGAATTTCCTCCCATTTTGTGTACACAAAATATTTTCAGCTAAATTTTACAAATGCTGTGTCATCGGCCATTGTCGTTGTGTGGGGGCTACTTATTGTGTGTGTGTGCTGTTGTGTTGGTGTATGTGTTGGATATTGGCTGTTGACACCATTTGGTGCCAGTTTTATATATTGCATACTTTTTTCTGAGGGGAGGTAGCTGGAGGGATTTATGTCCCGAAATATGTATTTATGGAGAGAGTTTCAGCATTGGCCCATCCAGCGGTTACCATTTTATCACGCAAATGGTCTTTATGAGAGTTTCTGTTTACTTTCGGCCCATCGATGAGAGACCACACAAACACAGGCAAATGGAATTGATTGGCAACAGCTTTAAATTAGTTGTATTTGTAATAAATATTTTTGTGCGTTATTGTTTCGGTAAGAAATATTGGAATTTGGTTAAAATATGTTGGGGTAGGGGATTAATGAGAAGGTTTTAAATGAAATAAATATCCATAAGTTCCTTTGAGTAAATCAGGAAATACTTATATAGAAAACTAAAGGATGTATAAAAGGCGATAATGTTTTTATAACCTCCACCATTTTATGGAGGGTATGTTAGCTTTGTCATTCCGTTTTTTAATCCTCGAAATATTCATAATACAGGGTGAGATGAAAAAACTTCAACAAAGTCAAACACCATAATTTTTACATTTTTTAATTGATTTTTTAATAAATTTATTAAATGAAAGCAAAAAATGTCGGAAATTGCAATAGCGAATTGGTCACCTTTGGCACGAACTATGGCCTTCAAACGGCCAATGAAACCGTCACATGCTGCCCGAATGTTGCTCTGCGGTATTTTGGCACATTCCCGGGGAAGCGCTTGCTTGAGGTGATCGACACTTAGGTATTTCTCAGTGCCAACCTTACTTTCCAAAAAACTCCAGACACAATAGTCCAACGAATTGGTATCCAGAGATTTTGGTGGTCATTGTGCGTTGGAAATGAAGCGAGGAACCTCATTTTGTAACCATTCTTGGGTGGCGCGTGCTGAGTGCGATGATGCGATGGTGCTGAGTCCTATTGGAATGTCCAAGGTCTGCGGAGAAAATGTTTGCGTGCCCTAGGCTTTAATACACCCTCCAGCAAATTTTCGCGATAATATTCGGCATTTATTCTGATGGCACGGCCGATAAATACGAGCGGAGAGCGACCATCTGGTGTTATGGAGGCCCACAACATCATCATGGCCGTCGCTTGAGTTCTGGCGGCCAACCGAAGGTGCACATTTTCAGCTGACCTCTTTGGCAAGTAAACACGATAATTTTGTTTGTTTACAAACTGCTGCATATCGAATGTTTTCTCGTCGGAGGAAATCAAATTTGGCAGTTCACCACTTTCGGCCGAGCGAAGAAACTCTTTAGCCTTTTTGAGTCTATTTTCTTTCTGTTGCGATGTAAGTTTTTATTTTTTAAGCTAATTTTTCAATATTTGCCAAATGAAATATTGCGATATGTTCAGCTCACGAGGCATTTTTTGGCCAATGCGGCGCGGTTTTCGATCAATTCGCTTTTGTTACTTCTCGAACCATTTCTGCTGTTTTTGCTGTTTTCTTCCGTCCGTCAGGTTAAGTTCGTAAGTTCGTGTTGGTCCACGTTTTCGTATAGCCCCCATATAACTATACCTCCCTATATTCGGCATTTTCATGATTTTTGCGACATTATTTACCGGTATCGTTTCAAATTTTGTATTTGAAGTTCGTAATGGGTACTACAGACTATGACAAAAATTTTTGTATGCAGGTCTATGTCTTTGTATAGCCCCCATTCAACGGTACCTCCCTATATTCGTTATTATTTCAGCAAAGAAACAATTTCGTATGCAGGTCCACGTGTCCCTATAGTCCCCATATAACGGTTTTCATTTAAGTGATAGTTTTCGGAATTTTTTTGAAAATTTTCAAGTTCATTTCAAATGGTGGAGGGTATTAAAAGTTCTGCCCGAACTTAGCTGCTTTTTTAATTCTTTATTCCATGGTCATATTATTTTTAACATCTATCAAGTTAGAACGTACTTGTCTGATTTGCCGATCATTTTAAAAATTATATTGCTACATATGCCCCTCTTCAAATCTATTACAATTTTCGTCTTTTACGTTGAAAGTGGCACTTTGATTTTGGATAACATCTTTGGCAGTGATTTTTTTAGATAAAAAGTGCACCGACTCATTTGACCAAATTAGGATTATTTTATGAGGAAGTGGAGCAATAGGTCCAACTTACCGAAAGATGGCGTAACTTTGGAGCTAGTCGAAGTCAAACTCATTTAGTTTCTCTACTACTGTATGGCATGAGTTTATTTAAGTGTTGTAGGAATTTGAACTAATAGTAGGCTTGAAAAAGAAATAAAAAAACAGAATTTTGTCATTTCGAAAATTTATAAAAAGGAAATTTTCATATTTAGAATTTTTACTTGAAGAGAACAAAAAATCTTAAAAAAAAAATTTATATATACTCAGAGTAATAATATTCTGAAAAATGTATATCCCTAAATAATAAGGAGGTATCCTTAAATCAAAAAGCTTAAATTTATGGAAAATTGTTATTCCTGGAATTTGGTGACGGTATTTTATCAAGAAAATTGAAGGCTGTAAGAGGAATCATAATATAATTCAAAACTCAAAACGTTCTCTTGGGATTCAATTGGGATTTTAAGCTATCGCAAAGTTCGCATTGCAACTATATCCTGAGGGGATCGAATACGATATAGAATAGTGATATAATATTCCCGTCAACAAGTTTCTGGTAAGTCCAATTTATAATATAATTTATCTCATAAATATTTCCGATCTAAATCATTTGATCAGTCAATTATAACAATTTATATATTATACCCTCAGCCTTATGGATACGGTCAAAACGCGTCTCATCGAAATAACGGTTTTAGACCCTAGGTCTCTTTGACAAAACCCGTTTTAGGACATTTCATGTTGATCTAAGGGTATCCGTCTGTCTTTTTGGCTACCTTATAGAACTAGAAAGGATCATCCAATTTTGTGCAAACTTTGCAGATGCCAATATTTGTATGAGTGCGAAGATGGACAATGTCGAGTGACTCCATTATGTACCTCCCCTACAAATTTTGAATAATTTAAATTTTTTAAATTGCGAAATAAGAATCCGAATCTTTGGAAATTTCACTCACTCAATATTTTTACTAGTACAATATCTGATGTGAATATGGAAGATATCGATCCCCTCCTTCTAGTACCTCCCCCACAAAGGGGCCAACATTTTATACAACCATGAAGCTCTTAAAAGGCGAAATGAGCATCCGATTATTTTCAAGCTTGACACTTTCCAATATTTCAAAGAACACAAAATCTGGTGAAAATAGCATATACGTCCCACCACTCTTTTTGGTACCTTCTCCACAACTGGTCAAAATGCGACATAAGTATCAGATTCTTTTCAAAATCTTTGATAGCACAAGATCTGGTGTGAAGATGGGATGTATTGGTACACACCATTCTTAATTCCCCAACAATGGGTCAAAATTTTGAATAACCGTAAAACTCATAAAACACGAAATATCTAACAATCTGGTGTAAATATTATAGATATCGGCCTACAAGTTCTAGCACCTCCCTCACAAATGGTCACAATTTTAAATACTTATATATCTCCTAACATGCTAAACATGTGACCAATTTTTTTATCACAAATGATGTTAAGTTAAGTGATGGGCAATATCAGTCCACTCTTTCTGGTACCTCCTCCACAAAAGTTCAAAATTTTCAAAAAAAATATTGTACTGCACACAAAGAGAAAGTATAATCAAGAGCAAAAATGGACAATATCGGTCTACTCCATCCAAAACTTCAACCACAAAGGGTCAACATTTTGAATAATTATAACTCTTATAAAATGTGATGTAAGTGTCCGATTACTTTCAAATCACACACATCACAATATTTTTATTTACCAAAGTTATATTATATTATAATATTATTATATTAAGTTATAAGATGGACAGTTTTTGGAAATGCGTGCTGTGTAGTTTACGAAAAGGACTAATTTCGGTAGGTAGGGATTATAGAGATTTTACCTTATTTACCTTTTGGTAAGTATTAAAAATTTTGACCGTTGTAACAGTTGTGAGGTAAGAGAAGGAGTGGTCTGATATATTTCGTCTGCACATTTGATTAGTTGTTGATAGAAATTCTAGGATGTGTGAAATTTAAAGAGAATCGGATGCTTATTTCGTAATTTATGACTTATAATTATTTAAAATTTTGACCGATTGTGTGGGAGGTACGTGATGAGGTTGGTCGATATTGTCTATTTTCGCACCTGGCATAGCACTGATACATATATATGGATTTTTAAAATGTAAAGAAAAACAAATGAACCCTTCTTGTTGCCTTTTTTTTTTTTTTGGGGGGGGGGGAGGTGTTGACGCCAGAATGAGTGGACCTATACTGTCCATCTCCGAACTAGATCTAAGTTTGACAATAATATAACGATGTACCAAGTTTGAATCGAATCGGATGCTTCCTTCGAAAGGAACCAGACAGACAGACGTTAGTCCGTCTGACAGATGGATAGCTCTAGATCGACTCCGAATGTCCTGAAACGGATTTTGTCCAAAGGGGCCTATAGTCTACAACCGTTATTTCGATGAAGCACGTTTCGACCGTATCAAAAGATATGTACCCTCTCTAGCCATATGCCTGAGGGTATAAAACATTTTAGAATAAATTGCTCATTGCCACACAGGCTGTGAATCCGAATATGTGGTTTATTTTTCCAGGATAAGCGGAACTATGACAATAGGAATTATGATTTTTTATATCCTTGGCTCCTGGCAAACGAGATGTCTGGATTATACTTAAGGTTATATAATATGCTAACAAAACTAGAGAAATTTTAGATTGTAAAAGCGATTAATATATCCTTCATCATACCTCCATTACCACTTCATACATAAACGGCAAATGTAATTCAAATCAATACGAATTGTGTAATTATTTACCACCCACCCACCTACCCAAGAAATTACGACTAATGATGCCATAATTACAGACAAATGCAAATTCATTGAGGAAATCACACTCAAATGATTGGATTCCCATCAAATGTAAATCCAACAATACAAACATACAATTGAGGGTGCCCTCCAAGCAAACGTATTCATGGTGGAACATTACCAACCCACTTTTTTCTATTTCTTTGTTAATGAAGAGCTTCCCCAGGAATGCAAATACTCAACCCCGAACACACTCACTCACTCACACACACTTTGCAAACAAATGATGAGAACATTTAACGTGATGGACACGTGGGTCGAATTAATTTGCCCATTCTTGTGAACCCAAACACTTGGGCGCCAGCACTTTAAACGACCGGTCTTGCTGTTTTTTGGGATGACAGCAGTAGCAACAGCAACACGAACTTCTAGGAATTTTGATGGACAGACAGAACTGACAACGTATGTTTCGACTCCCACTACTTGGAAACGAGAGGGGTGATTGTCTGTGTGTACGTTTGTGTCCGTGGTGTGGTTTTAACTCCCATTCAACCAATGTGAACCGAAATAAACAACACCAACAGGAGCATCAACAATAACAACCAACATTAACGACGTTGTAGTCGTTCTTGACGACAATCACCTTGGATGGGAAAATGGAAAGCCGGAGGAGGAGAAGGTAAAGGAGAAGAAACAGAGTACGCAAAGAAAACAAACCATAGCATGGAATGTCATCAGCTATCGAGCGTAACAAGTGCAGCTGTGATAACACACAAAATATCTCAAGCAGATAGGACAATGGAATGAGAAAGGATGTGAGGACAGTGGGATGGGAAGGATTACATTTGGGAAATGTGAGGGTCGATGGGGGAAAATATTCGTCTTCTTCTAAAAGAAACGAATTCCAATATTTTTAAGAAGAGCAATATATTGTTGTTGAAGACCAGTGGGTCTTTTTCTTCCTAGAAAAGAGCAGTGGGTCTTCCTCCCATAGAATTAAGACCGCTTCCCATATAAGGAAGGCAAGTTGGTTTTCTTCTTATAAAACGAAGACCACTTGGTTTTCTTCCCATGGAAGGAAGGCTAGTTGATCATCTTCCCATAGAAGGAAACCACTTGGTCTTCTTCCTATAGAAGGAAGGCCACCTGGAGTTCTTCCCAAAGAAAGGGGACCACTTGGACTTCTTCCAGTAGAATGAAGACCCTTTGATCTTCTTCCGATAAAAGGGAAACCATTTGGCCTTCTTCCCATAGAATGAAAACCCTTTGATCTTCTGCCGATAAAAGGGAAACCACTTGGGCTTCTTTCCATAGAAGGAAGACCACTTGAGCTCCTTTCCATAGAAGGAAGACCTCTTGGGCTTCTTTCCATAGAAGGAAGACCACTTAGGCTCCTTTCCACAGAAGGAAGTCCTCTTAGGCTTCTTCTCATAGGAAGAAGACCACTTGGGTTTCTTTCCATAGAAGAAAGACCACTTGGGCTCCTTTCCATAGAAGGAAGACCACTTGGGCTTCTTCCCGTAGAAGGAAGACCACTAGGGGTTCTTTCTATAGAAGGAAGACCACCATAGAAGACCAGTGGTTCTTCATCTTCCAATAGAAGACCAATGAGTCTTCCTCCTACTGAAGACCAGCGGTTCTTTTTCTGCCCATAGAACACCAGTGGGGCTTCTTCGGTCCATAGAAGACAAGTGAATTTACTTCTGCCCATAGAAGACCAATGGGTCTTTTTTCCCATAGAAGACCAGTAGGTCTTCCTCCCATGGAAGACCTGTTGTTTTTTTCTGTCCCTAGAAGACCACTGGGTCTTCTTCTGTCCTTAGAAGACCACTGGATCTTCTCCTGCCGATAGAAGAGAATTGGGTCTCCTTCTGCCCATAGAATACCAATGGGTCTTCTTCCTTCTATAGAAGACCAATCTTCCTTCTATAGAAGACCAGTGGGTCTCCTTCCAATAGAAGACCAATGAGTCCTCTTCCTCTCTTAGAATATAAGTGGATCTACTGTCCATAGAAGACTAGTGGGTTCTCTTCTCTTCTCTTCTTTTCAAGAGAATACCAGTGGGTCTTTTACTTCCAAAAGAAGACCTGTTCGTCTCCTCCTCATACAAGTCCAATGTCACCTCTTCCTTCCAGAGAAGACCATTGGGTCTTCTTCCTCCAATAGAAGACCACTGAGAATGCCATAGAATACCAGTGGGCCCTCTTCTGTCATTGGTCTTCTTCCATTAATGACCTGCTGGTCCTCTTCTTCTATAGAAAACCAGAGGGCCCTCTACCTCACATATAAGACCAATGGGTCTTCTTTCTCCAATAGAAGATCTGTGGGTCTTCTTTCTCCAATAAAAGATTTGTGGGTCTTCTTCTGTCCATAGAAGACCTCTGGACCTTCCTCTGTCCATAGAAGACCAGTGGGTCTTCTTCCTTCAATATAAGACCAGTGAGTCCTCTTCCTCCTTTAGAATACCAGTGGGTCCTCTTCTGTCATTGGTCTTTTTATTCTCATTCTTCTTTCAAAGGGAGGACCAGTGAGTCTATTACTTCCAGTGGAAGACATGTTGGTCTCCTTCTAATAGATCATCTTCCTTCCAGAGAAGGCCAGTGGGTCTTCTTCCTTCAATAGAAGACCAGTGAGTCCTCTTCCTCAAATTGAAAACCATTGAGTCCTCTTCCTCCCATAGAGGAAGAGTCATTGGTCTTCTTCCTCCCATTGGAGACATGTGGGTCCTCTATTTCCCATAGAAGGCCAGTGGGTCCTCTTCCTCCAATAGAATATCTGTGGGTCTTCTTCCTTCCATAGAAGACCACTTGGACTTCTTCTGTCCATAGAAGACCAGGGGTTCTCTTCTGCCATTGGAAGACCAGTGGGTCTTCTTCCGCCCATAGAAGACTATAAAAGACTTGTGGGTCTTTGTTTTTGACATAGAAGGCATTTGGGTAATAGAGGACCACTGGGGTTTCCTTAAAAGACTACTGGGCCTCCTTCTTCTTCTTCCCAAGGGAGGACCAGTGGGTCTTCTTTTTCCCATAAAAGACCAGTGGGACTTTTGCTTCCAATAGAAGATATGTTGATCTCCTTCTCCTAGAAGACCAGTGAGACTTCTTTCCTTAGAAAACCAAAGGGTCTTCTTAAAGAAGATCTGTTGAATCTTCTTCTCAAAGACGATTAAAAATTGTCTAGTCCTTTATTTGAACTACTGTGCAGTCAGAGACGATACATTCAAGAGATTGCCAATTCATCGAAATTCTTTGGAGACATAGACACTTTTACAAACATACACAGTGACGCATATATACGAGCACACACACACACACACACGGAGACATACCCATTACATTTTGGCTGTTGTGCGAATTTTCCCAGATTGTGGTAAATTTAACAAAGGATCAGTTTCCTTCAATGCCCACTTTTCTGGCTGACAGAGTTGTGGAAGTCTTGCAAAGGGTAAAACCGCACACCGACACACTCACAAAGACACAACACAGCTTTTTTGTTCCCACAAAGGGTTCCTGTGTGAAATATTCTCCTGTTGCTGTTATTCATTCATTCAATCGCTTGTTTTTGCCAGGGCCATGTAGCGACAAGCCGGAGCAACTCGGAAAAAAGGGGCTAAAAAATTTGTAGACATTAATGCGTCAGCTCCATCATTGCTAATGCCACCACGTTGTTCGTCATCAACCAACCAACCACAGCCATCATCATCATTAGCATCTTCAGCAGCTTTTCATCGATAGCTGATAGAAACGCAAAAAAAAAAGAACAAACGAAGAGAAAATAAGGCAGGGGAGGGGGTATGGGATGTAGACCCATCAACGTTTTTCCCATCAGTGTTAAACTGTCACATTCGGATGTCTGTATATTTCAATTCAGAGTCTTCGTTTTGCCATACCCTCCTCTCCATACAATGGTGGCGGATGTGCAAAACTTCCAGCACAACATCCTGTTTTTTAAACCAATCATCTGTGGGTATGTGTGTGTGTGTGTATGTTTGAACGTGCGTTGGTTTGTTTGTTTGTCTGTCGAGGGTTTTTTTTGGGAACATCTTCATCGTTGCACGTCTGTGCGTATTGTTTCAAGGATAATTGATTACATTTTTACAGCAATTGAACAGATGAGGTGTTGCCAGCAATGTAGCACAAGGCAGGACATTTTAGAGTGTGAGTGTTTACTTTTTATTGGCGAATGTGGGTATTTCTTCGCTCCTTAAAGAAGGTGGTGAGTTAATTTTTTATTCAATTATGAATTTTTATTAAATTTACAATTTTAATCATTAAAATTAGATGAAATTCTAAATTTAGGCTCATATGGGCATGACATTATAAGAATTTTGTTTAGATGTTATTGGTCATAATTAACATAAGAAGATATATTTGTAAATAATTATAAATGTATAAAAGTATAATGTGGGAGTCACATAAAAAACTATGTGGGTCTTTCTTTATAATGTTTTGAAGAGAGAGACAGAGAGAGATTATATTCCCTTTGAACTTTAATTCTCCTGTTGCATGTGAGTTTGCATTTTTGGTCCAATCATTTAAAATACTAGACATCAGGAAGTTTTATGGAGACTATTTTAAACCTGGATCGATATGTCCCGTTTTCAATACCAATTATTCTATGGGCAATATAAATATATGACCAACATTTTATAACGAAAGAATGCTTCCCTGAATTACTCTCCATTTTCGAGGATATCATCCCACTGTGCGGAGTTAGGTTCTTCTTAAAGGGAAGGGTTAACAAATTAAGGGTGGATAAGTTCAGTTGGGCCGAACTTTTTATATAATTAGGGAAAAGATCCCGTTTTGTCGGGACTTTGTTTTCGATGACGATAGGGTTAGATAAAAAAAACTGCAACAAAGTCAAACGCCATAATTTTTACATTTTTTTATATCCTCCACCATACATAGTATGGAGGGTATATTAAGTTCGTCATTCCGTTTGTAACTCATCGAAATAATCATTTTAGACCCAACAAAGTATA